GGAGTTTCACTCTTATTACCCAGGCTGGAGTGCAATGGCGCGATCTCGGCTCACCGCAACCTCCGCCTCCTGGGTTCAGGCAATTCTCCTGCCTCAACCTCCTGAGTAGCTGGGATTACAGGCACGTGCCACCATGCCCAGCTAATGTTTTGTATTTTTAGTAGAGACGGGGTTTCACCATGTTGACCAGGATGGTCTCGATCTCTTGGCCTGATGATCCACCCGCCTCGGCCTCCCAAAGTGCTGGGATTACAGGCTTGAGCCACCGCGCCCGGCCCTGTTTTTCTAATTTCAATGTCTATTGTGAATCTATATTATTTTTTGAGAGAGAAACATTTTGGGATTTGAAGATGATATTAAATAACAATCAATTTTTTTGATTTACTGGAATTTTCCAAACACCACTCTGTTTTTGTTTTTGTTTTTAATTGAGACGGAGTCTCCCTCTGTCACAAGGATGGAGTTTGAGATCAGCCTGACCAACATGGAGAAACCCCATCTCTACTAAAATACAAAATATTAGCTGGGCATGGTGGCGCATGCCTGTAATCCCAGCTACTCTGGAGGCTGAGGCATAAGAATCACTTAAACCTGGGAGGTGGAGGTTGCAGTGTGCCAAGATCATGCCATTGCACTCCAGCCTGGGCAACAAGAGTGCAACTCCATCTCAAAAAAGAACAAGAAAGGAAGGAAGGCAGGCGGGCGGAAGGAAGGAAGGGAAAGAAACAACTGGACACTAGAAAAAGACCAGAGTGGGGCTGAGCACACATGGCCCCATCAATTTTCCAAAGGAAAACCTTAATTCAAAGATGTCCTGGTAAGGCATTTGTGCCTATAAAAGACAAAAGGAGAAAAATCAGGAAGATTTTTGACTGTGGAATGTAAGGGAATTATTTTTACTTTTCTCTCATGTAAAATATTTACAAATAGGAATCAAATATTTTTAAAAAGTGTCAACTGTTCTGTGAAAAAGTGTTAAAATACTGCTTCTGAAATGTACAATAAAGGACAAAAGTAGTTGGTAATGTTGTGAATCGAAGGGGAGAAGTTGGCTTTGGGGAATGTTGGAAAGAAACTGTAAATTTAAGATTTTACTGCAAGCCTGGCAAGGATTTTACTGCAAGCCTGGCAAGTCCTGGCAAGGCTGAATAGAAGAGAGTAGTCGATTTGAGACCCTCTTTGCCACACATTTGGAAAATGCAGGGGGACACCAGTGTCTTTGATCAAAGTTAAAATAATTAAATAGCAGGTAATTTGACTGGAGTGGCTCTAATGGTCTAGGTTCCTATGAACAACAACAACAAAATCAAGCTCAAATGCATTTATATATATATATATACATACATATATATATATATATACATATATATATATATATATATATATATATAT